GCCGTGGAGCGTAGGTAATAAAACCCTGGGTATAGTACGAGGTTATCATTTTAGTTGCAAGGTATTTGCAAATTATATTTCGAAGCTTTTGGCGAAAATTATCGTAGGCCAAGGTAAGATATTTTTGCGACTGATTTGTTTATTTCAATCGCTCAATTGTCTATTGTGGTCGAGCAATTTCGATCACAAGCGAATTGACTAATTAATATACGACTACGAGTGAATCGGTCTTTCTTACAAACTTGCCCGCAATCAGGAGTTTTTGTCACCTACGTCCACCTACGTGTTTATGAAGTGCACGAGAATATCAAATAAACCGGAGGGTTGCTCGCACTTATCGTCATAGATTAAGCATCATATGCGTGAAACGGTGAAAGGCTACGTAAAAACTGAACCTAACCAGTGTGTATGTACTAAGTTATTAAAATTAAACCTTTCTATCGGGAAAGTGCATGTGCTGACATTGAACTCAGCCAATGTGCGGGTGTATACAACCATTGCGCTGATATTTTGAAACAAAACGCCTACACCTACTGAACTAACGAATATTAGACAACTATTGTGTTGGCCGTTGGGCTGAGATTATTCTTGAAATTACTTGAAGAAATTTATCGACATGAAGTCAACACTTTGGTTTAGACAAATTGGGCGTTACTATTTAAATTATTGGCCCCAGGAGTGGTTCATATTTTACAATTTTACTGCATGGCTGTCTCAACAGGCTGTGCAGTTTTTTGTCCAGTTTCATATTTTGCAGTCAGTGACCCACGTTGCGAACTTGAGTTTATGTATAAAGTAAGATAAAGACATAAGGTCGGCAACTAAATTTATAATATTTAACATCATTCGTTGTGGCATTTATACATGCGATAGCAAACTTTTTTGCCTGAAAACAAGGCTGAAAATAAGAAAATTTTACAGATATTTTTTTCTGCAAAACAATTCGTGATTCCAAGATTTAGTTTAATTTTTAAAATATAAAAATCTTTTCATGCCACATTCCAAGCCGAGTGACTTTTGGAAATCTTCCATCACCATAGTTACCAGACACAATAGTGAAAAATGGCTGAATTTGACAAAAAATGATATAAAAGTTTTTGAATGCATATATTCATCATTAATTACACACAACAATACAATACCGTGTGTCCCCAAAAAGTACCCTCTATTGAAATCATTCTTTTGTTGTTAGGGGTACTTTTTGGGACACACTCTAGAACTGAATGAAGCAATGAATACCTTTTCTTCGCACGGGGTAAAACCTGAATAAATCAACAATTTGGTGAATTCTCGCTTTCTTTGTGTATTTTCAAAATAACTTTCGAGGTTTGCCGATTAAGAAGTATAGTCCAGGAGTGTTTTTCTCAAATTAATGTAAACGAGATTAAACCTATAATTTTTTATCAGACCACCTTACTCTAATGCCCGTCGGAAAAAGCCACAGTGCGTAACTGTTAAGAATGGAACTCGATGTCTGTCGATGTAAAAAATACATCAATCAAAACGAATCGTTTTCACCTCCTTATCGACAATTAAAACCGCTCATTATTTTCCATAATAAATGTCAAAAATCATTATTGACCAGGTGAAGGGCTTGACTTTAAGTTCATCATATAAATGAATATACTGATATATAAACTATACTCAGTCACAAAGAGACAAGCCCGAGTAGCATAACATTTGTATGTATACATACAGGAAAAAAAATGAACTCAACTTATGAACAAGTATATATCGAAACTTGTTCGCATCTTTGACGTGAAAATTTATCTAGTTATCAAATTTCCTGACATTTGGAGCGTAATTCTATACGCTACTGCACTTGCTATCAATATCTGTCTAATATTTACTACATTAATTTTCAACGGTGTTACGGTTGCAACAATCTGGAAGTGTCGGAGATTGAGAGAAATAAAATCCAACTTTCTTATCATGATTCAATCCATGGTGGATCTTGCAAACGGTATTTTCTTTATGACGTTGTCTGCTGTGCTTTTTATGTACGACCTTTCTGGAAAGAAATCTTGTGCAATTCCATTCGTCACTAGAACAATAGGAGCTCTCTTGTTTTTCTATTCAATGGTAGCGATGTCTGCGATGAATTTAGAAAGATATTTTGGTGTTTTATTTCCTTTCATCCACTATTCTAAAGTGACCAAAGAAAAACTTTTCAAATTCTTCATCTCTATATCCAGTTTGGAAACGCTTTTGTATCTTGGCGGCATCATCTCCGTTGGAGGAAAGACAAATAAGTTGTTCTATGCTCTAAACCTATTTTTGTTTCTTGCATTGAGCGCATATGTGCATTTGAAAATTTTCTGGGCAGCTGTTAAGAAGAAATGGGTCGTTGGTCCAGGCTGCGATTTGGGCGACGCCTCAACGACGAAAAACAGGGAAAAGAAAGCACGGTTTATGAAACAAATTAGAATAGCCAAATCATGTTTCCTTGTTGTACTTACGAGCTATGTTTGTTGTCTGCCTGGAATCATCATGTTTGGTGGTATAGCACACTCTGAAACAAGCTTCTCCACATTGACGCTGATGAAATGGTCGACACTTTTGATTATGCTAAACTCAACCTTGAACTCACTGATATTTTTCTGGTTTAATACCGCCCTGCGTAAAGAAGGACTAATATTTATCGGACGTTTATTTATAGACAATCCAAGATGGCGCGAAATCAATAGCCAATGTTTCCGCAGGAGATGACTCGATGATGGCAAAGGAGGTTTCAATATAAATCAGTAAACTGAATCAGTACTGATCAACAAATTGAATAAAAATGTAATTCTTTCAACAAAAATTTAAATGTATAAGGTCCGGTATAACTTGTCAAATATCATTATTACGATGTTTTATAATAGTTAACATCGGAAAACTACATATGAATATTTTGTCACTCATATTCATTGCTTATTTGTTTACAAACACTTATAAAAATATTACATAGTGTTATGAAAAGTATATGAAAAGTAAAGCATGCATGCACGCAGTTGAAATATATCTACTTTCAAATTAATGGCCTGTACTATAAACCGTAAGATGAGTATCTGATTGTTGTCATAAAATTAAAAGTTAAAGAATATTAAAAGTCTATTATATTATTTACAAAACTATGAATTGTAAATTTCAAATGTGAATTTACAGGACTAGCCACTTTTTTGTTAAATCATTTTAGCCAAAAAACAGTACTAGTTCACCTCTTAAAAAGCCTACGAAAGCAGGTCCCTATAGGAAATTATTTATTTGAATTTAGCAAATCAGTTTTGTTTTTTTACAGTTGGGTTTGTTTTAACTGCAATTGTATAACAGATAGAAATTAATGGGGACACAGATTTACTTTACACACTTTAGTTTACAAAGTAGCAAAAAATGTACAACCTAAACAGACGCACGCCTTGTTCGAAAACGTTAATCGTGTCAAATTATTCGGCTCCATTTTGAACTCTTTGATACATCAACGAAAATCACTCATGAATCGTCTAGTGAGATAACACGGGATTGGGAACGATGCCGAATGCCGATGGGAAAATGGTTGATCCAATAAAACTGCAATATAAACTATTGAAATATATATTTTATACATATACTAGCTATATAGTTGCATGCATTGACGGACATGCATACAGGTGCATCGGCTACCAATCACACATCATTAATTTAATTACCACAAGGAAGGGCGGATGTATAAGACGCCGATAAAACGTACTTATATCGATCAACAGATCACAAAAACTATTTAGGTTTATCATTTGCATATAAACACGCTAATGGCTTCTAGGATAACGAGCTTATGTAAATTAACCGTATGCTAAACTAAAAGCATAAAGTTCAGCACGTATTGATTCAAAACATATTTTTTATAGTGTTTTATTACACACAAGGGAGTAAACGAAATGGTAGCTACATCAATGTACATAATATATACATTCGACGAAATGTAGAACGCCGGCAAACAAAAAAGAAATAATTTAGCTACATGCTATTTGCATGTGTATCCAAGGTGAGAAAAAAATTGTCTATTCATATTCAAATTTGCCGCAGCTGCTGTAATTTGACAGAAGTGAAACATATACAAAAATCGTGTTCCCTTTGGCAGTTAAAATGCATTTTAATCGTCCGAGATATATTGAATCGTAGTCAGCTTAAGCCCCTTACAGACGAGCAAGTTTTATATGACATTTTTCTATGTCACAATTGGCAATTGCAGTGAGAATGTACAACAAATTTTCTATGACACGTTTTTCTTTGAAAATTTTTATTTGTTCGTGTGAACGTGCTAACAAGTTTACTTTGACAATTTAGTTCGCAGTTAGCAATGTAATCGTTCAGCGGACAATGTAAGCGCGCTAACAGGCGCCATTTCGAAATTTCCTTTCTGCATGAATAATGTAATAACGTAAGGATTGTAATGCAATAATAACGTCACAATTCAGTTTTTTTTTGTCTTTATCTCTATATCATTCCGAAACGATATCCCATAAACTCCCTCTAAACCTCTGGGCAGTTTTTATCGCCAAAATCAGTCAAGGGTACGGCGCTAAGGCTAGCTAACACTGCAAAATTATACAATTGTCCGCTGGTCAAACTCATACAAGTGCTCACATTACTTTGACAGGTTTAATTTCTTTGTTGACTCGTACACACAAGCGAAATTGGTGTTTGACAATTTTTTCAAGATCAAGTATACTTGATTCTGAACAAGTGTGCTTGTCATAGAAAAAATTGTCAAAGTTGGACGTACTGACGAACAATTAAAACTTGTCACATAAAAACTTGTCATAGAAAACTTGCTCGTCTGTAAGAGGCTTTTAGTTTTGCATGGGTCCTGATTCATACAAGGAAATTGTCCGATTTGCATTCGTCAATTATATCTGCATATAGCTATGTCAATAAAAAAATTTTTGACTCACCCCTGGAGTATAGTAGCTATATAAGTCGGGAAAACTATAATAAATAGATTTCAGTACATATCAAGCACAATTAACCTGTGTCTCCGTGGCTCTATTCATTCAGGCCTCTCTATGTTATGAATATGAAAAATGATAATAATTTATTCACACTTATATTTACATTATTTTTATCAAATACCATGCTTTGAAACCCTAAGGTGCTCCTAGTTTATCCGGGTTTTCATATTCATATTATGTCGTAATTTATCAACGATCTTCTAAAAACCGTTGTCGGTGACAAATGAAGTAGATATTTTTATATATTGATGAGCTTCCGATCATAGACAAAACTGATAAATTATGAATTATTAATTACGGTTATGAAAACCAGGAATTATAAATTGGTCAAAGAAATTAAACCAAATCATCACAAAATTACTTGATGCTGATTGGTAGAGTTTTTTAATTTATTTTGTTGCAGAATATACAACTAATGATTTTGCCAACACAAAATGGCGGAAATGAAATTGGCATACAAAAATTGGTCCTTGAGGAATTGAATTAAAAAAGGCCAGACAGTTAAACGAAAATACTGCTAGAAGTACAAAATAATATATACATGCAGGTCTGAATTGTATTCGCAGGGAATGATTACCTATATACGACCGAAACTACCAGATACATCAACTTATGCTTGATCTTTGCAGCTTAATTTCATCGAAATTTTCGTAAAGATGGTCTTCAAATACATTCAAGTCAAGGTAATCCTGGAAACAAAAGAAATTGCAAAATTTGTGAATCAAATTGATCAGCTATTTTCAACGATGTATTAATTTACTAAGAATTAAAACACTCATGGCACGTATGTGTGTAACACGTTGCACGGCACTGTGAATTCTAAACTCCAAAACGACTGCTGAAGCGTTTTTTTTTGCCTTTTTGCCTTTTGGAAAAAAAATTCATGCAGAATCGTTTAGGAATACATTTAAGTTTGCATCCCTTGAAATTTTTAAAGAAACGTTAAGAAAACAAACGCTACCTTAGCCATGCAAGGTTTTCCGTTGTACATTAAAAAATGATCATTTATAATTCTATTTTGACACCTGAGAAAATCAATATGCCTACCTTCGAACCCTCTACCAACATTTCTTTGAAGAACGATGCCATGTCTGAAAATCGTGGTCTTTTTCGCGGTTCGATTATCCAACATTCTTCCATGACGGAATAACTAAAGATAGTAGCAAGACAATTATTTTAAAGAAAATTTTATTGCAAGACGTAGATGAATTATCATTTCAGCGTTTCTCCTGTTGACCTCAAAAAATTATCGAACCAAACACGTACAAAAAAAGGCGTGTCGATGGTAGTCGAAATAGCGACAGGAGACATTCGGCAAAAATGTAAGGTAATAACGATGCCATATAGAATACGCCATAAAATAACCAGGTACCAAATTTCTTTAATCCCAAAACTTTTGACTCACCTTGAGTATTAGTACTTAGCAAAAATCTGATCCTCTTATTTCTTAATAATTATATGGATCGCTTGTGATCAATACTGTTTATATTAAGTCTAAAAATTCTTTCATATTTAGCAAGTTTTCTAGATAAATTCGTTTGATCTTTGCTTCTTCCTAAGCAGTCAAGCACCCTCCTAGTTAACTTTTGAAAAAATTATTCGCAAAATTATTTTCAATAAACGCGGCGACCCCGCGTTTTCTATTGTGCACTTACATCTCAACCGACAAATGCTTGGGCCTCGGCATTCTGTAGCCACTTTCAACTAAGTCTGGAACATCTTTCCCTTTATATCCCGGGTATGGAGAATCACCTAAATTAAACAATAAAGTGTTTATATTAGTTACGAAGTCAGATTTAAACGTACGTATACGTGAACAAAAAAAATACCCAGGCTGACTGATTATAAGAATCGAAAATACGTATTTAGATCATTCTCAGTAGAAATAATGGACGGGTTTCCAAAAAAATTAAAAACAAAATGTAAGCAATTTTTTTTATTTGAAACGATCTTTCTTTAACTCTTACACCTACATTCTAAAAACTCACTAAAACGCATTTTCCACTACGCGAGAATTTTTTTGGGCGAAGCGAAGTGGAACCGACATCCGAGATCGTGATTCGTGAAAATTTACTGCGGGTTTTTATTTTTAAAGAAAATATGGCTGGTAAATATTCAACTTAAATTTTACTTATAATTATACAATTTTGTTAATTTCTTACCTATGGTAAAAATTTCCATTAGCAAAATTCCGTAGGACCACCTTGTATAAAAGAAAAATTAAGACTGTTTAAGAGCACTATTATTTTTTGTAAGCAGGGTAGACAAGGAACGCTATGACTATAAGTATAAAGTGCTGCAATTATTATGAAATTAAATTTTAATCCGTCCGACATAAATTGAAATCCCTCCCCACCTGAGAATCCCACCCGAGAATGTTATGCATTTTTTCCTCAATAAAATACTAGTTATAGAGCAAATAACTCTTCTTACACGTCGCTCATGGTGGTACATTTTCCTGCAAATATATCTTCAGGAGCCATCCATTTAACAGGAAGACGTGCCTACGTCAAAGATGTCAAAATTAAAGTAAAACGTCGCATCGCACGAAAATTATCGCTCGTGGAAAACCGGGCGCCTTAATGTGGTTAAAGTGCCAACATAGCTGCATGTGTTTAGACCTCTGAGAACGAAAAGAGTTCACGCATGATGCAATTTTGTCCTGCTTGCGTTACTGAAGTCTGAAAAATCACGTAAAATCAGAAAAAAGGTGTGCACAACAGTAGAAAGATTAAGTTTACTGAAATATTTACTGAAAACCGTTTACGCAATAACCAAAGATTTTAAGATGTTATATAGGTATAAGTTATTAAGTCATATCGTAGCCCAGCGAAGTTTTTGTTCAAGAACCTGTATGCATGTGTTGCTGCAGTAAACAAAAAATTCCCGAATTTAATAATTGACTGTATCGTAATAACTCGTAACAAACCTTTGATTCTCTGTCGTAAGACCCCTCCCTTGCCAAACCAAAATCTGACACTTTGCAGACATTGTGCGCTCCAACAAGAACATTCCTCGCTGCCAAATCACGATGGATTATCTATAATGTGAGAATTGTTAGGCATAGAATCGCATGCAGCAACTTACTACAAAGTAAGCACTACGAGCATTAGCGTACGAGAAATAAGGATGTACACATTCACAACATGACTAGAAACCAGTCGGGCATAAGCCGAAAACCTAAATGTACACCCCCCCCCCTAACTAAGCTTTTATACCTACGGCCACGTGTTTCTGGATATCCTGGCGTTTTTATAGACAATCTTGTGAACTGGTATTTTACCATTTATAGGCTTATCCTCTACTTCCATGGTGAAGGCGGTATTACCTCATTTTGGGCGAGAAAAGTCATTCCATCAGCAACCATCCATGCAAAAGACAATAGATCATTCTCTGTCAGCCTTGATGTTGGAACATACTCTCCAGTATTATAAGGATCTTTATATCCACGGGATTTTCTGAGATAACCCAGAAGATCTCCACCAACCAAGTACTCCAGTATTAACAAATACGGTTCTGCGAATAACAAAAGCAAATTTAGCTATGACGACTAATTTTGCTACACGGCGAGTCTCACGTACCGATGCATTGAATACAATCATCAGTGGCGTCACCAGCATCTATAGTATGGAGTTTATTATCTACGAGTCTACGACGCGGTAAGCTCGACGTTGTTAGTCAATTATTTTGCTAGAAATTAGCTACGGGAAGTTTTTACGCTGCCATTACTTTGAAATAATCATACAAACGTTTCAATTGTGCTAAGAACCTCCGATGTCTAGCTAACATTGCAGTTTCATATAAGCTATTAAACAGCTATCACATTGCCGCTGCGTTTATTTCATCGAGAATCCGTAAAATGCCTCATTTGAAGGCATCGTAAAAATGACAACGCTGTCATGAGACCACAAATTATGCATAGCTATTGTCCCGCGTGTTTTTGCAATGCCAATATTTTGGTGTTCACTGACTGTGAAAACAATGATTTTCTAACGACATGAATAATGATAATAACATAAAATTCGCATAGCAGGACTAAATCGTCAGGCTGGCTACTACTAATAGTGGGGGAGAGACGTATTCATACATTCACGTTCACTAAACCTAAAAGCAATCAATTTGAAAAGAAGTGAATATTGTAAAACACGAATATATGAATACGTCCCCCTCACATATCAAGCTGGTGACGCCAGTGACTGAAGCTTGGTTTTTTCGCTAAGCAACATGAATAGTGACAAAGTAACAGATATGCAATTAAAGATCTGACTAGTTTAATCACCAGGCCAAATAAGAGAACTAGACTAAGTTCTTTCATGAGATTTTAATGACACAGCGAAGTCTAATGTCGTTTATGCACATGCATGATTGATTGAAAATCATGCAGATGGCGAAAACAAAGCATAAAATGTAAATTGGTAGCAGTGACAGTTGCGGTAGAGAATTACTGAGAATACTGTAATCGCAGTACCAGTGGAAGTGCAGCAGCCCAGAAGTTGTACGACGTATGGATGTGGCTCTAGCTTCTTCATCACGTTTAGTTCATTTAGAAAATTTGTACGATCCTTCTCGTCTGTGTTCTCTATGTTGTGTCAAGAAATAGCAGAAATAAGTAGAAATAAATTAAATTCACGACGTTACTGTTTTGAATGCCATAACTGTACCTTTGAGAGTCTTCACAGCAACAATCCCACAATTGATTTGATTCATGGCGTGCAAAGGTAAAATCTTCGCTTTGTTTACAGTGGCAAAAGTGCCTTCACCCAAAATTTTAAGAATCACAATTTTGCCTTTAGGAAACTCCCAAAAGGCATCATCTGATCGCTTGATCTGGTGAGAAGTTCTTGAGCCGGAACCAGGAGTTCTATTTGTTCTTGGTTGACCATTTACTTCACCAATCTCTGGTCCCATTTGCATGGTTGCACGTCTAACCTAAATGCAAAATGTTTTCGTTGAGTTGCATGTGACTTATGCAACTTTTTACAATACACGCCGGAAGCTTGACTCGTTCAACTTCATTATAGTAGCGATATATCCACATTCCTCGTGCAAGGGCATGATTCGTAGCAACAAAATTTGGAAATTTCTGATGCATTTAAATATATGCTATAAAAATGCTCTGACAATGTTCAATTGGAAGAAACAAGACATATTGCTATAACTTTTTTATTTTGAAAACGTTAGCCGATTAAAGTGACCGCATAATTTATTCTGCTGCACTCTTATATTAATCATCCTCGCTCATTCAGTCAGAGGCATGGTTATAATTCTTCTTCAGGATTACGGACAATTGAAACAGGTCAGCCAGCCCGACCTGTTTTAGTCCCGTTATGCAAAAAAGTTTCCATTCAATTAAGACAAAAATAACAACATTTGGCTACGTCAGTCTAATAAAATCAGCAGCCAATTAAATGATACGCGATACTTCGAAACTAATATATAATTAAATTTGAGGGTACCATACGTTAAAAACATCCTTTCTTCTACATTTCATCCAAACAAAGAACGCTAAAACAACCAACGCTCCCAATGCCACAATCACTGCTATTATAAACGGGTAGTTTTCTAACGACCACTTATTATTTTCATCATTAACGATTCCATTAACACCAGTTGTTTTTGGCTCCATTGTCACATTTTTTTCTGCATCTAGGAAAATATGTTTGACTCTATACGCATTTCCCAATGATTTTTTCAATGAAAACAAAATTCTTTTATTCTCCACCATTAATTTCTTACTGTGTATCACTGGATTTTTTTATTCAAAATCCATACTATGGGCATATGCCACTGAGCTATATTAAATTCCTGGAGGACCGGCTCGCGGCCAAATCGTGTCGCCAAAAAGATGGCGGCGAAGTTACCGAAAAATGACGAGCCGGTCCTCCAGGAATTTAATATAGCTCAGTGGCATATGCTACACCCATACTGCTTCCATACTACATCCATAGTCATGGAAATGAAAATATTTTAAATTTCATTTTCCTTCCTATATTCTTGACGTGGATGATCCTATGCGAATGCCTAATGCTTCATATTCACACTTCTAATGTTCACATTTGAGAGAGAATTCTAATCAATATAACCACAATAAAATATTGCATACGTTTATCATAATAATTATAAACAAGATCAAGTTTTTTGACACGCAATATTACCTTTACATACCAGAAGACTACCCAAGCGATAACTGGGGGGAGATAATGGCACTACCACTTTCTAATTTCTAATTATAGTATCATTATACAGGTTCTAAAAAAATCCAGTGTACAGAAAAAGATAAGAACTGGCATAAATAAATCAATATCTCCCTCCGTTCCTAACCCATATCTTGAAGGCCACACTGGGGGATTTCGGGGACACTAAAAAAATTCCTTTTGCGTCTATCCGAGCGAAAAACTGGATAGCGCATAGTTGACCTATTTGGTTTGGTATTTGTACTGGGATGGCGTTCGCAAAATATATTTTGGTGAGATAAATTGATGAACTAGAGGGAAAGTTTCCAAGATCGGCGGGCAAAACTACAGCGATAATTGAGAAGGGGGCTTTCCGAAATACGTATGTAAAAAAGAAATCTGCCAGGAAGAACAGATTATTTGAATATTCAATCCCCCCTATATTACGCTAGTTTTGCCCCTTTCTAAGATAGCTCGGGGCAAAAAATACTGACCATAATATACCCAGTTTATCCTTAGCCCAGCTAATATCTCTATTCATTAGTGAACTGACAGACAAACCATTAACCTCAAACTCAGCATGAGCTCGCAAAGGGATATATAATGATTGTTTACTTACAAGTCTGAGACTTGTCATAATAATTATTATGGTAGCAAGCATAGTTTAGCTAAGCTTTAATAAACCTTTAGTGACCATTATATAAATAAGCAATGTTGTGTTTGTTTCATCTATAGCCACATCCAGATTCTCGAGAGGATGGCTAGATTTATATTAAGATATTATCGATTATTAGTGAGTTCTTATATACAGGTATTCTTACCGCCTTCGTTTGTTGCCTGTCAAAGTAAGTTATAAAACCTATTACGCATTACAACGTATAGGCCTACTGGACGTCCTGTTTGTATTGTGAGCTCGATCTCTAGTTTTTCACAATAATTTATCAGAATTATTAGAATCAGAAATCGTATATATATATAATACATAAAGGAAGTTTGCTTCGTCTTCCGGTACTCAGTCTGACCTGATGCTATTGGTTTTTAGCTGTCAATCTAAATTATTGATTTTTTAATCGAAGCCGTCCGTACATTCTACTATAACTTCGCTCCTCTATAAAAGACTCTTACCGAACCAAATCAAATATTGTTAGTAATCAATAATCGTTGAAAAAAATGTCTATAGGGCAATAATGTATTGTATACGTAAATTCAATGTTAAATTTCATGTAATACACCATGTAATTATATATCTGGTAGAAAACAGAACCTGGTGTTGATTTTAAACTCACCCAATTAGATTTGAAGTAAAAATTGTTCCACAGTTGAGATCTTTTAACACATAAAATCGAACAGACGCTGAGATATATTTGCTACTAGCAGCTTTATGGAACATAACTATTACTGATGTAAATAACAAGGCATATATTTATGCGCATAGATATTATGTACCCCATGGCGCTAAAATAAATCTTTGTTTCTGCAAATGATCGACATTTTTGAAATTTTTCTTCAAGCAAACAACATCGAGCTTCGAAGAAGTCGGGCAGGAGACTAAGGAACTTGGTTTTTATTGAACTGACTGATGTGAAACGATTTAACTTCCTGCAGTATAATAGAACCATGCAGCAATAAATGGAAGACTTGCATGTTAACGAATTTTTTGAATTTAAAAAAATCTTCGTCGAAATTCGATCGGAACTTTTGAATTTTAAAACTGGTGATAACCAAGTGACTCGTTGTAACATGACTATACAGCAGAGAACGCTGATTTTTAAAAAAAATTTTTCCCTTGCAGCGCGCCAAATTTACCGGCTGAATTTTCAACCGGAGGCGGGGCATTTATATAAATTGCGTGATATTTGCGAGTTTGACATCCCGATCATATTACACGATCGCGAGGCCTCCAAATACAATGTAAAAATACTGAAAACGAGATCAATAAAGGATACCATTCAATACGGAGCAACTGAATGTGGTTTCGAAACGATCAGAGACCAGCAGAGGCAGGTTGCAGAAGCCGTAACAAGATTCAAATTCCTCCAAGGGAAACAAGTCTGCCTCTCCACTCCCTCTCTCTCCGCCATTTTCCTCGCCCGATTTTAGGGTGCAATTATACTAATTTTTTAGGGTGCCATTAAATTTTTTTAGGGTGCCATTATACTAATTTTTTTAGGGTGCCATTATACTACTTTTTTTAGGGTGCCATTATACTAATTTTTTAGGGTGCCATTATACTAATTTTTTTAGGGTGCCATTATACTAATTTTTTTAGGGTGCCATTAAAATCTCTTAGGTTGCCATTATACTAATTTTATATCATCAAGGGGCAGACTTGAGGCAAGTCTACCTGCCATGCTATAGCAGCGGAATTACAACGAAATTGCAAATTGAAATTACCTTGAAAATCGCCAGCTTATAGCGTTACTGATTATAAATAGGCGAAAATGAACAGATTTTACTTGCTGGTTATACTTTGAATTTCGTCTTCATATTTTAGGTATATTTCAAAAAGTATTTATAATTTTGCACACGATTTTGGCAAAAGGCTAATCGTTAGTAGTTCTCTATATATCTGAGTAGTTGAAGATGAAGGTTCCAGTAGATTTCAGGGTTATAGTGATAGAATAATAATGAATAGAATTTTAAATCAAAACAATAGGAATTTCACACTCGTCGGATGCTCGGGCGGCGATCGGTGTACCCTCGTAAAGCGCTCATAATGTCTTCCACGTGTTTTGAAATTTTTTTCATAGGCTCATGTTTAGGTCTAACGAATCTTTATGAGTAGTTTGAGAGCATGCAGCCCAATCCCATGGAGCAAGGTCTCGTTGACTTGCCACATTCAATGCAGCAAACACGCACTTCGGACGTAAAAATTGTAAAAAGGCTTTACGCCCGCAATTTTTTGACCAGCGCTTACAAAATTCCCACCTCTTGTTTGCATTTTGATAAGGCAACTGTTTAGTTGCTTACCATTTCCTGTATAATTATTTCACCTAGTTCGTTAGTTGGGCAACTATATTCACCCCTTTCTTTCCCCTCTCGTTCCTCCTCTCATTCCTCCTCCTCCACTGTCTCATGGGTTGGACTACTAGTCACCCCTGTCCATTTCCCTCCCACTGTCGGATTAGTTTGGCTACTAATCACGCTTGTTCCTCTTGCCCACTGTCTAGTTTGGCCGTTAATCACCCCTGTTTCTCTTCCCCGGCAATTGTTCTTTAGTTTGGCTATTAATCACCCCTATTCCTCTCCCCCCACTGTCTCAATAGTTCAGTGGGCTACTAGTCAGCCGTGCTCCTCTTTCCCACTGTCTCATTAGTTGGGCTATAGTCACCCCTGTTCACACCCACTGGAACACATAACCACTTACGTCTATACCTGAATGTCATGTAGCTTATATTGATTATACATCGTTCCTCTTTTGTCGCTCCGTTCTTAATTGTATCTGTGTTGTTTAAAAGGTATCGACATGTTTGTTCATGAACAAATAAATGTGTTCATTTTACTTTGTAAATGTTTATAATTTTATATAAAATAGTTCCCGAAATGAAAGTGACATAATTTGCTAACGTTCTCAAAAAATGCAAACTTTCTGCCGTTGGGACTGTTTATATGGGAGCCGAGATCGGACAGCGAAACAAGCTCGGACAGTGAGACAGCCCGGTAAATGGGATAAACTTGTCCTGTGTTTATATGAGAGGATTTCATCCCGCTTGTCTGGATAGAAATTTTTTACATGGCTTTAATTGGCTTTGCGTTTAAAGTTCACATCACATTAATATCAGCATCTATTACAGTACATTTCCACCGTTTGTTGGTTTTTAGCCTAATGTTCCAAAATGTGTAAAGAAACGCTGAGAAATATCAAAATTTACACAAATGGTTCCACCTCGGCAACCGGGCCAGCCTGCGTATCCATATAAACAACGCGCAGAGGTTTTTATTAGGAATTGTATTCATAACCGTGATCTCGCTATAGATATCCGGTCGAAATATAAACAGCCGCCTAATTAATCAGGACGTTGCAGATTGTCTTTCTTATTTGCCATCTTGAAAAAAACGTAAGAAAATTGCCATACGACAATATTTCACATATGAAAAAAATGTATGTCCAATGAAATTGCAAGTTAATTTACTCGGTGAGGAACGATTTTTATTTTATAATTCTACTGTGCATTGATTTCTATACACATATAGCTAGAATTACAAATTGTAAGTGAAATGCTGCGAGTGGATACACGTAATGCCCTTATCTTCACCCATGCAGTCATCTCTTGGGTAAAGTCTTCAGGATAGTAATGGCAATATTGCGTGTCAAAAAACGTGATCTTGTTTATATTATGGTATTAAGATGAAGGTTTATACAATATTATATCTTGGTTATACATGCTGATGAGAATTCTCACCCTTTTGATTAAACGAGCTTTTAACTGACACAAGCAACGTGCACATAATTGCGAATACGAAGCCATTATTTACGCATTCGTATAGGATGAAAGCGCATTACTACTATACGTGGTGAAAAAGTCCTCCTGACAAGAGGTGCACTGAGCATGCACGTAAAGATTCTAGGGTTGCCATAGCAGGGTCATAACTCGATGATAAAATAAGTAAGTGCGAAGGAAGACTTGGACATGGGTATTTTAGATCTCTGACAAAACAAGCAAATATTGATACTTTTTGATCGATTTTTTCCATACTTAAACAGTTACACCAAACAAACATGCCACTACGGCCTTTTCGCTTTGCGACAAAACAGCATGTAATTTATTATATAATTATATAAAATTATATATATATTACGGCTATAAATCCATTTACTATAATGTTTCGTACGGCTCTATTCAGAGCTGTGCACAGCAGGGGGAGGGAGAGGCCCCCCCCTTGATAAACACTGAAGTTGTAATCAGTAGCGTAGCCAGCCTGTCGATTTGTCCCGCTATGCTAATATTTTGGTGTTAACTGACTGTGAAAACAATAAGTTTCTAAAGACATGAGTAATTATAATAACTCGAAATTTACATAGCAGGACAAAATCGTCAGGCTGGCTACACCACTGGTTGTAATCTTCATTTTACTATATTAACTTTAACTACAAAAAAGTCGTACTACACCGCTGGCAAAAATTCCTGCGTACGACCCTGGCTCTATTTTCTATTTTAAAAGTAAACCAGCATTGCTGTTCGGTGTACATCTTACAGAACTTTGATTTTTCACATCCATCCACTGATGTGTTTGTTCATACAATTCATAAACTTTCTTACAATTTTTCCCAACAGATAAAATCCTTGATCCTCCGACATATTTACGGCCACCAATGTTGTTTCCAGATGCACCATCGGCCCAATAGTAAGCACAGCGGTCCAAGTTAAGATAATAGCGTATCGGTTCTTCTACAAACAGAAATTAAAAGTCTTAATAGAGCTAAACTTTTGTATAGACCACATGAAGTCACACATGACGAGCTACGTAAATAGCCGCCATCTTGGGATAAAAAACGCGGGAAATTAACTAGTATTTTGATTCTTTTAAAGCAGCTGTCTTGTACTCAGATATGGTGAAAACATGTTTATTTTACATTCGCTGACTGTTGGAATGTTGAAAGATTTGAGAACTAGAGCTACATGCGGTCTGTAAGTTGCCTATATAGTAAAGACGTGACCTAAGTTTAGCTGTGCTTAATACGTACATTCATAAATTTGAATAAGCACCCTGTTATATGCGTATACGATAAATTTTTCTCGCAACCTCAAATGCAAATTCTATTTTTAAAAGATGTATTAGCGAAGAGTCTTCAAAATGTAAGTGATAGACTAGGAACGCCTATATGGCATGTATAATAAACACAAAAGTTACATCTCTCAAAAGTGGAATTGTCTTGCAAGTTGCAATTAAATGGCAGCCATATACAACGAGGCTAAGTGGTATGATTGTTTTATAATGTAGCTATACAAATTAAATACTATTTCATTAGCAAAATAAATATTGCATAAAAAATTTTACTAGAGCAGTTATTGATTCAATTTGAATCAATGTTTTGTTAAGTGAACAGGTGAACTAAATTAAATTTAAAAGCCCGTTTTCGTTAACTGAAAAAGCTTTTTGTCCGTTTTACTGACTCCTAAGTATTTTTTTTTTTAATTTCTTTGAACTGCGCTTTCAAAAAGTGTTTCAGATTCATCATTTCTGAGCAAAACTGTCGTCCATATTGCTTTTGCCACTTATCATATAATTAAGTAGCTTTATTAAATAACATGTATATAACGTGCGTTCTGATTGGTCGAAGCCCGTGTTTGGATCCGGCCACCATTAATTAATCGTTCATTACCAATTACATTCTCTGATTGGTTACGTCTTGAAGAAATGAAGAAAGCCAAATGCTTACCAGCGCGAGTGTTTTTTTTAAACTTGAATCCAACTTTATCCTGGAGTTTCTCCCAAGTGAATTCGATGCCATGAACATTATATGACTAAAAAAATGGAGATTTGCAAGAATTTAATTTTTACAAAACTTCACAAAACAGCAGCGTTTGGAATATTTTGTTATGGTCAGAAATGCAAGCGGGTAAGTGGTGAGGTGTATGGGCTCCGGCGATTCAGTTTTAGACCAGTCCTCTATTTGCGAGAAGGACAATATGGCGATTGTTTTATGTTATCAACCAACCACACAATCTAATACAGATACAGCCCTGTTATAAACAAACACAATTATAAAAATTGATACATAGTAGATAATAAAAGAAATGACGAACTTATCGATGCTGGCGACGCGACTTAGTTCGAATAGTTCTAAAATATTGTTGAATATATTTAGGTTATTACATTGTATCATAGCAACAGCTAAAAGAAAATAATGGCGATCAAAAATCACTCTGCGAAATTGATGAATTTCATCGCCTTGGGGAACACAAAAAACCAAATTGCAAGATTGTGGGAAACACATTTACATGTGTTTTTAAGCTTATAAAATGCGATGTAAAAAAAGCTAGAGCCTTTATGAGCCTGATCTGATGTGGACATTTGCCGATGTTCGCCGGCAACGAGCAGAAACGTGAACCGTAAGCTACCCCAGGTATCAATAATATGCTAGGAATAATTTCATATACTTTCCTATACGATGACCATCATAAAAATATTCTTTCTCGGAAACATACTTGGGCATCTCGAGTTGCCCTCAAACTTTCAGTAATTAGAGATCGATGAAATTGATGATGTTTTAGACGTGGACAAACATGACTTCTCAATTGTGGGTTATATAGAAAACAAATTTTAATGATTCGGCACTCTTTCCCAGAGGCGATTTCATATTGGCTTCTTAAATTAGCAAAAACTCGTTCATGCTTGGCCTACATTTCTGGCCATGTGCAGTCTGATTGGCTGTTGGAGCGGGTGGAATTTAACAATTATCTCACCAATCCGAGCGAAACTTATTTGTTTCGTTTTCCTAAGAATATAATTTATCCAAACTTTTAACTAGTAGTTTATATTTCTTAAATCTTAATATAGCGAACTAAATGGTTATCAGGGAAGAATCGAATTTAGGTAAAATAAACGAATATGGTTTTTGTTCCTTGTTGCCGTTGTTGCATGAGCCTGACTACATAATTATAATAGAACCGAACGTTACCTTGGGTAAAAGAATAAATACTTCTTTACTGTTTTGATCAGTCCGGATGGAAAAATCTGCGGAGGGAGTTCTAGCAACGGTTTTTATGGTTCTAGCCTCCCCCCCCACGTTTACTGCACTATATATGCATCTGCGCACCATGCACTTTCAACTTCAAATGTGCCCTAAGTTCTCCATTCTTACCCTCAGCTGGTTTACATCCACGTAAGAGTAATACAATATATGATCCGGGATAGATCCCCGACGACAAAGCCAGTAGCGGAACATTGATCCCGGGACTAACCACTGATAAATAAGGCATATAATAAGGCCAAGAGCAAGAACGGTGGAGAGAGCATATCCTTTTAGTCCTAGAGAAAAAGTACGCCATAATTCAGAGTAAAGAACAACGTTACGCAAACGTAATTACAAAGGTCATAATTGAAAATTCTGGCAACTGATTGGTCGAGCGACCTCGGATTATTACGCGATAATCACCTAAGCGGATTTTTCAAAATGGCGGCGAATTCTTTTTGTCAACGTGACAGATGAGGAAATACGTTATTTTGACGAAAATACTGTAGCTCAAAGCACAAAAGAAGTGAAAAATTAGGCATAAAATTAAAGGTAAAACTTCTTCGTAGAATGCTTTTTTTGCCAAAAACATTGTTTATTTGAATCGCTGTAAAACTGTTGAGATAATTGTTTACGTTTATAAAACATTTTCTACCACCGCTTCTTTTTCAGAAACCACCTTTGTAATTATACTAAAACAATTATTGACCTCAGGCTCGGTGAATATCGCCGAATAAAAACTTCGACTTCGTCTCGGTTTTGCGATCTTCACCTCGAATAATTGTAAATTATACTAAATTTTTTAACCAAAAACCAAGATTTAACCAAAAATCCAAAACCAAGAGCCAAATCAGTTGGTTCTGAGTTCTCAATTTTCATCCACGCGAGTAATTTTAGATAAAAAAATGCTATATATAAGTAGTGGATAATGCTACCCAGCTGGAAACTATAAGGTCACAAAGTCTGGTCACTTTCAATCATATCACTCAGAAAAAAATAAGTGGAATAGAAGCAAGTGCATGGAAACTTACTTCCCCAAGTCTTTTTATTGGCGATCTTAATCTGCTCTTCTGTACTTTTTTCGTACCAGCCATACATATCTTCAATCTCTTCTAACAATTCTCTCCTGCTTACATCAAGTACTATACACACAAAGCACTTGACTAAATGAGTATCATCAAGCATCTTGGTGCTCTTCTTCGATTCTAAAGCCATGCCTAACAACACATGTTTCTTACGAAGGAAAGATCCCGCAGGCATGTAAGTTTGAGGTATAGCTTTACCAGGATTATCAGTGGATGCATAAATTCGTTCACCATTCTCAATGCTTCCTACAACTTTGACGTTAACGATGCCAATAACGCAGACCGTGTCTGTCTTTATAACTAAAAGAAGATATATAATATAAAGATTTATACTGGCTGCGAGTTCTGAATTCATTACAGTCAGGCCAGGCTTTGTGATACTCGCGCGCATGTTGCGCCATCTGAAAAATTACATGAAGAAACGCCGCAAAAACTACAACATAATAATCACCGATGATTGAGCCTACAAGTAGTTTGATCGTGTCCAACACGCAGAGAAATATAGGAATAGGAAAAATGGAATTGTGCTAAAGGATAGGATACAGGAAAAAATGGGACTGTGCAAAAGGATAGGATATAGAAAAAATAGGATGTGCAAAAGGATAGGATATAGGAAAAATGGAATTGTGCTAAAGGATAGGATATAGGAAAAATGGAATTGTGCTAAAGGATAGGATATAGGAAAAATGGAATTGTGCAAAAGGATAGGATATAGGAGAAATTGAATTGTGCTAAAGGCTGACAAATAGACCATGTGTAGCTTGCAGTTGATATAATTACTAACCTGGGTTAGCTGGTTTATGCCCAGCCAACCAATGAGAACGGCTGATAACACCAGCATGTAACGCATTATGAACATTATCGCTTCGAAGACGTTGAATATATGTTTCACCCGATTCGCTTTTGTAAAACCCGACAATGTCGCCTTCTTTAAGGTCATCGTAGTTATCAGGATCTCTTAATGTCAAGTGATAAGCCAGATCAGCTCTTCCTGTTTCGACATTAAAATTTCCATTGACCCTAACATCTTTAGCTACCACTTTATCAACATTTGCTGTTTTCGCATCCAACGTGTCGACCAAAATTTGTCGATAGTGTCTAACGGAACCTGGATGGAACAGATTATTACAACCCGTTTTCCACTTGGCAAATCTACTCGCGCGACGCGAAGCGACATCTGAAATCCGGTGATATCATTGATTCATGAAAAAATTCACCACGAATTAAGTAAAGTCGCTTCCTACGTTTTTTCAGTTCGCGCAAATAAATTCGCCTAGTGGGAAACGGGCTTTAATTCCAATCATTCACGTCTTCTCAAAGATACATAAAAGTGTAGTGATGGTTGGTAAAACGTTCTACGCATGCTTGGATTATCTCGTTGTCTCGAGCGAGATCCGAACTCGGTTTTTTAGGCTTCTTTTGATGGGGCGCTGACCTACTTTCAGTATATACATATACACATACATACGAACATTAATAATATCACATTATCATGTAATAATTGTATTAGAGTGGTTTACTGTAGCATGCACAAATTAAGCATTCAGTGGTATTATAAAATATAATCAAAGGACAGCGCAAAAAGTCCTAACAGAGTTTATTAAACACTATTTACCGTCGTCAAATATTCCACTGTCGGCCACCGATTCCCCAGGAGAACCTAAACCGTAAGACAAAACAATTAATTTCATCAATGTTCTCGAGATATGTTTGGAGAATATTTTAAATCCACGCAAGGTATCTATTAGCACCATGTAGAAATGTTTGATATTGCCGCGTCGTTAGGAGGTCATTTGTGGGAAAGGGTTTATATTTTTAAGTTAAATATATCTGTAATGACGGGCCCGAAAATACGTCTTATATAGTTCAAATATCTGGATTTGTCACGCTTAGTGTAATGCAAAAAGATGAATGAAAATCGTATACTCGAGAAACGCAAATCGTGGAAATGTAGGAAAACGGTGCCTAAATAGACAAAGGTTTCTAAACAATTAACAAGAATTAAACAAAGTTTCCGGTGTTTTCACGAGTTTTTTCTGTATGATAAGATGCATAGCTATTCCCTGAAAATGTTTCTAAATTGCCTCAAATGACGAAACGGTGATTCCTTGTAAGTTAAAATTGGAAAGTTTGGTTGCAGGTTGCAAAATATTGGTTCTGGTCCATTGGTACCACAACCAGGGCTATAGCCAGTCCTATAGCTCTCAAACAGGGCGGTTCATAATTATTCCCATATTCATGTTTACAAATTATAAGAACAATAACTTTAATATCAATCGGGCATAACACGACCCCCATCTAATCACGCTTCTAATTAAGGCTCAAATTAAGCTTATAATTAAGCTTCTAATTAAGCTTCTAATTAGGCGTCTCATTGAGCCTCTAATTAAGCTCTAATTAAGCTTCTAATTAACGCCACAAAAGCTAACGAAATCAATGTTTCACCATCAAGAAAATTTATCAGCTAGAAAGCAATGAGCATCCCCTATCGTCACACAGAACGACAATAACAACATTCGTATAATCAAACATGAAAGAAGAAGCACATCCAAACTGAAAAAAACGTACGTTTTATCCAACGTACAACGATTCTTCATCTAAGGAGGGCATATTATACATGCAGTAAAAGTTAAAAATAATCACCTTGGCCGTTTACGCTACCATCAATCTCAACATCATATTTCGTTTTCTTACCTACAAAGAGAAAGGAATCGTGATTAAAAGTCTTCCCCAAAACCCTTTAAATATGAGGTTGGTTTTTTTAATACAACTTGGGAGATTTTAAATGCACCACTGGAAAATCTACACTACAATAAAAAAATATGAGTTCTGGTTGAGGGTTAAACGAAAATTGAATAGCGTGGGAAAACTTAAATCACGAAGTGTCTCTAAAAACCCAAATTTGTTATTTTGTTGCTTTTTCAGCCTTTTCCCAGCGGTTTAGAAAATCATTATCCGGTGGACTACGCTAGTAACGAGCCATCGTACAACCGACCGCAGAAGTGTCATAGTGCTAATGTTTAAATAAACTGGACCATAGTACTCGACCTGGCGATGGACCTGATACTGAATCTGGCGGCATTGGATTTGTTTCTGTCTCCGTCAATGTTCGCAAGTTAAATTTCGGGCTGGTAAATTTTTGGCTTCTTGACCCATCAATGAATTCGAGTTGTACAACTAACTGGAATACGTTCAGATTTCGTTGTTTGTCAGACTTAGACAATTTGAAGACCGGTGGACTATCAGGACATCTTCCTTCGTAGATTTCATGAAGATCAACTGAAAACGGTTGCTAAGTTAAAGGATAGACGTTCGTCAGGTTAATGCGGCATGGAATGGAGAAATTATTGTTACCGCAGTATGAGTTTATAGATGGCTTTGATATAACTACAATATAGCTATTGGAACAGAATAGCGAGCTATGAATGGGCCGCAACTACTGGAATAGAATAGCCTGGATGAATGGGGCGCAACAGGTGGCTAAAGAAATGTTTTAGGAGCGGGGGGTGGCAGATCATATTATAAGTGAAGCGAACATCGAGAAAGACTATAAACTACTTACGTGACATGAAAAAATCTGTGGGGAGGGGAGAGACTGCGGGATAAAAAACAAAAATTAGGGAGAAAATTCCCACCCTTGCCATCCCCATATGCCGCCACCACTGCTCACAAAAATCAATTTAATACAGGGTTTATCAAAAAAAGTTTACACTTGGGAAATGGCTTGTAGACGTACGCGCACGTATGTGTAGGTGGTTTGAGCCCTTTAGACACCTCCTGTACAGAAAGTTTGTAAAGAACAGTGTTCATCCGAGAAAAAAAACGTGTTTTTAAACCGAAAAATGGCTCGCGCACAAAATTAGGAGACTGAAAATGCAGTTTCAATTGACAGGCCTAAAATATGGAATATGTTTTATAAGTTATTAAAGTTAAGACAATTTGGTGCAGGCGGAAGCGACCGCCCTAAGTTAAAAGACAGTTTGTGAACTAACACTTTTTTACTTGCAAAAGACTGACAGTTTTCGGGTGTCTGAAGGGCTCAAATTACCTACACAAACCAAAAGATTTACCTACTTGCGGCAACTTTCAACAACTTATGATTATTACTTTGCGTTCAAATACGATTACTTAAGTTCATAACGAAAGTTAATTTGGGGGGTACCTCAAGCTGAATGGCCGACAATTCTTGACAACTCGTTGCTTTCAGTAAAAGCATTACAAAAATCAAGTCAATGTGCACGACAAGATTAATAGATTGATCGATAATTTCAAACAACCTTTCAAATTTTCTGTTGGCATGTCCTTCGTGTCCTAATTTCGCATCAAATTATCTAACTTAATGCATTTGAACCCTTTGCATGAACACTTGGGGCTAGGGCTATTTGCACCCTCTGCTCCCCCGCCTCTCGTTGGCGTTGATAATGCTGAACACAGGTGCATGTACACACTCACCACGAAGCCATTTTTAATTGGAGTTGGGGTGTCTGAATCTTTTATAAGATTTAAAATTTCTCCAGTGTATTCATTTCTTAAAGGAACCTCGCCATTATTATCCTTCAATTTTATCGCGGCTGTTTCTTCGCGTTTAACCCATCCATAAATCTTGTACAATTGACAATTAATTGTTATTGCTTCCATTTTGATCCACCTCTTTTCGTCATTTACAACCAATTGCCGAGTCCGGTTGTTCGTTCGATACTGTTTTTTGTAAAATACTTTGCCATTATAAAGATCAAGAAACTTTACTTCTGCAGAAACTAAAACGAAAACAATATTTTGTCTAAGTTACAATTAATGGCTGAAATATAGTTGTAATCGAAGCAACTGGCTTACTCAGTTACTGTCAGTAATTATTGAGATAAAATATTCTTTATTTCAATGGCGGGTCTAGGGGTAGTCAGAATATATTACATAGCTATATTTTTTAATTCATTTTAGGCTGCAGTTATTTACTCTGACCACCCCTATAGATGCTCCAATGTTTTATTTTATATATATTTTATAGGAATATTTTTATTTTATAGGAATATTTATTTGTGATGCAGAGCGATCAAACAATAAAAATGATTTAACAAGGTCCAGGTTTTAAATTTGTTCCACTGCTGTACTTCAAAACAATTTCCACTTTACTTCTTTTATTTTGGAGGAAACGGATCTTAATTAATTCCCCAGGCAATGGTAATTAAGGCAAGGACTTTTTTAAGCCTATCATTTCATCGGAATATTTTACTTTAGATTGAACATATCTCACGAAATTTTATCGTCCCCATTTACGTATATGCATGTATGCATGTTTTCACGGTTTTTGTTTTAAAAACCGTTCTCGAATATTCTTGTTATCTGACTGACGTTTTTCCGGTCACTATGTTTAGATTCGACCGAAACACAATCAAGACAAATGCACGCATTCGCTATCAGATTGCTAAAACCTGTTTACATTGTTTGTAAATTCCAAAGCTTTAATTAAGTTGACTTAAAGAATCATGTTATACAGTATACTCATTTCAATACTTCAAAACTTAAGCTAATCTCAGCTGTAAGCAGTATCATGTAAATAGCTATTCTGACAGAACCTGAATCATCAAGGCGGGCGTACTGACATTCGTGAAATTAAAATTGATATCTCAGTGGCCCCGTGACTGAGACTTTGTCTTGTCCTGTGACAGTCAGCAGTGTTTTCGGTTAGGGTTAGGGTTTAATACTCAACACTGATGATCCGAACTTGTAGGTATGATCAATGGCAATGCGACATTGCTCACTAGAAGTAGAATCTCAAAGTTTAACGAAGCGAGAAAAACTTGTGAGGTATAATAATAAAGCCTTTATGAAACCGCCAAGCACATGCGATACAGTTTCATTTTTATAAAACATTGTCAGCATTTCAGGAGTCCGAGATGATTTAATCTCCACGGGAAATCTCCTCCTCTCCCTAACATTTAATACAACGACCTGTGTCCCAATGGCAGCAGACAGCAGTGCTGTACAAATGCGTATATGAATTACTTGTAGATTCAGTACCCGTAAATGCTTGCAACGTAGTGAAAAATTCGGCTTTAGAAACTTCAAACATTAAAGCTAACACGAGAGGATAAGTCATTCGGAACAACCAAGGAATCTAATTCAAGGTTATAACGGAGTTATAAAATCTTACTTAATGACATCACAAGTTGTTTGTAAAAAATTCTCGAGCATGTCATTTGTAAGCCGATATGTTGCACCAAGACGGAAGTTATAATGTTTTAGCACCAACGTAGCGAGCAGACAGTTAAGGAAGAGAGCAAGACATATTTTGCGTAGGCTAGTTTAATATTTCAACTAGAATTATGGTTGGAGATCGTGAATACAGCAGAAATGGTTTGCTCCACAAAACTTTATCTCGGGGACAAGGAAATAGGCTCAAAATAGTGTAGCTATATATATAGCAGTTTGCAAATCCTTTAACGTAGCAACGTTTCCTAAGACGACAGTTAATAGCGAAGGCTATAGTGGTGTAACTTCGAACACTTGACGTGCAATAATGATATCCTCCTTGGATTCCATTTCCCTCTAGCAACATGAAGTTCCAGTTAGCGTTTCGAATCTACAAATTCGTTCGAGTAACGTAATCTCGGTCGAGTACAACGTAAAACAGTTAATCAAAACAAACCTGTGGGGTTATCAACTGGTAGAAAGAATGTGTCTTCGTTTGGATCCATATTTGCATCAGAAACGTGTCCACTTAAGTTCTTCCTGTTCTTCCTACATATGCCTGGTTTGGAAAGGTGGCTTCGCACGCTGTTCGAAGCTGGCAAACGACTTTAGTGTTCAACGTTGGTATACAACATTACATCAATATAAATTATGACTTGTGTTTCTATTTCCGCATACCTCTATGAATATGTAGAGTAAATTACAATAAATTAACTGCTTTTCCTGATTTGTATTAAAACATGACAGGGAAAACCCCTGATGATATACGATTTTCAAACGGAGAAAATGATTGAAAAGAGTGTGTAAAACTTATAATATTTCATAATCATAGGCAATAATTGTAATATTATTAACCGGTTATTCTTCAGTTCAACCACTCATTATAATATCAATGGTGCAGCAAATCATGAATTGGGACATGTCGCAGCTCTCGGAAGCTTTCGTCCAATTGGATAGTGCTTTTCTATGCTTTCTAAAGTATTGTAAAGTTCAACCAATGAAAATCATTCTTGCGAGGAGCTGCGACACTACCCCATCAATTAGCCAATTAGGGCCAACTACTTCGTGAATAAATTCATGGTTTACCCAGTCTATCAGAAAACAATAACACTTCAGCGTAGCGGGACCAAATCTATACCTTATTCGCCAAAGGCGAGGTGAAAATCATTTGATAAAAATTTCGACTTTGTTCTCGCCAAAAAATGATATATTTTCATATTCCTTTTAAATTTAATGCAATTTTCTGGTATCGTGAGAAGGATGCAGTGCCCGTGAGCTGAATGTATAATTTTCAGTGGAATGTTTTATTCAGTGAAGAAAGAAGAATTGCCTACTTTAGAGTTTAGCTCTTTCTACATATTCCTGGGTTGGAAAGGGAACTTTGCACTTTGTTCGACGCTGGCAAACGACATATGTGCTCAACGCACACAACATTACATCAATATAAATTAACACTATGTTTCTATTTCTGCATACTAATAAAAGGCTACATGAATATACAGAGTAAATTAAAATAAATAATTGCTTTTCCTCATTTGTATTAGCATGACAGGGAAAATCCCTGATGATATACGATCAGTTTCGAACTTACGTCATGTTTCTAAAATAATCACAAAAGTAATGCAATGACAGATGTAATCACTTTTCTTTTAAAACAGAAAAACACACTTTACTTATTGGCGTTATCTTTTATAAATTTTAGACTTGAATTCTGAAATTGTGGTGATAAAAACTCTGAGCTTGCGGTTTAACAGCATGGAATATAAAGGCAGGTTAGCCTGGAATACTCGCAAATTGTATATCAAATGATGGTATATCATTTGATCTAAAAGTTAATAAATTTACAATATAATTGTACGTTTTAAAGCAATAAATTGGAGTATGTTGTCTTACTTAGTGGCGAGTTTTCGTGTTCAGCATGCATCTTTTATAAGTTCGCATGCTTATAGTCACATGACTGTTTATAATGTAAATACACATCCCTCAAAATGAGCTGTACATGGAACAATATTGTGCTGCGCATATTGTTCACAGTGTCAATAACATCAAACACTATTGTTGTAAATAAACCAGGTGTAGTAATATATTGTTGAATGTTGATAACAGCTCCGAACAGTGTAAGCAGCATTGCTTCAACCTGATTGTTATTGGGCGTGTAGGTATGGTTATCCTAATGTGTACACGCGACAAAAAAGTAAAAAGTGCATTTAGACATGAAAATAGATTAATTATTACACTGTGTGTTATGCAAACAATTATAAAATGCATCGTTGAAGGCATGTATAATAGACTGAAACTGTTTCAGAACAATATTTGCATTCCGTTACACGTACACACTTCTCGCACAGTGTTCTGAATTATCCAGGACAGCAAATGGAGCAGCCCTCCAGCTTTTAACATTTGATATTCGCGACGAAAGTCTTCAGCGACAAGTGACGAGAAAGTGATAATCTTTCTAAAATGCCTGGTTTCCGTTTTGTCGTAAATCTCATGAAAAAGTCACTTTCACCAAAGAAAAATAATTCAGATGTAAACTCGTCTATATTCAAATCACACCACCCAGACACCAACTTTGACATTTTACTTCGATGTATGTATTGCATAATATATAATGAATAATCTGCTTTTTTTCTTCTCCTCTTGGACATGTTCAAAGTTGTACTATTGTAGTGTACAAATGTTAAATTTCAGGTTGAATTACAACAAAAAAGGGATAGTGAGCCGACCACGCATTAAAGGACTGCTTTTGCGACGTAAACAAAAGGTTCGTCCCAAAAACAGCCCCATGATGCGTTGTAAATATCACTATTACAAGTCCTTTACTATAATTCAATGTGAAATTTGAAACTTTAAACAATGATAATATTGTACACGAGAAACAAAGAAAACCATGCGTCAGGAGCCTATAAGTAATTTGATCGTGTCAAACATGCAGAAAAATATTGAATAGCCTTAACAGCGCACGATATATGTTTCACCCGATTAGTTTTTATAAAACCCAACAATATTGCCTTTTTTAAGGTCATAGTAGTTGTCAGGATATTTTAATGTCCAGTGATAAGCCAGATCAGCACTTTCTGTTTTGACGTTAAATTTTGTATGTATGGATGTATGTATGTATGTATGTAAAGCTTTATTTATTGACGCTAGCCTTGTCAACAGCAATTGTTGATTTCCACAAGGGGCGTCATAACTATGAGAAAAGTACAATTACAAATAAAGAAGAAAGAGATAAGATAAAAACATAGCTTTATACAAGAGGTTAAGTTGGAGTGACCCGGTGGTATATGAGGCCCACAGTTGATTTTATCTACCTATTAAGTCGTGCTACAAAATATTTGAAAGAGTATATTGATTGCGCTTCCTTAGCTTCACGCGGGAGATCATTCCAAAGTTTAGCATTGACCTTAAGATCCGTAGCTACCAGTGCATCAACATCTGCTGTTTCATGCGTCCAACGTTTCGACCAAAATCTGTCGATGGTGTCTTACGAAACCTGGAACAGATTATTACAACTCTAATGTTAATAAGCTAAATGCTTTGTTTAAGTTTAATTTGCATTTGTCAGTTCGGCACATATTAATGTTCGTATATGTATATATATATGCAAATTATACATTAATAATATCACATTATCATGTAATATTTGCATTAGAGGGGTTTAGAAATATTGTAGCATGGCACAAAGCATTCAGTAGCATCACAAAATATAACCAAAGGACAGCGTAAAAAGTCTTTTAAAGCAGAGCCTGTTAAACGCTATTTACCGTCGTCAAACACTCCACTGTCCACCGATTCCCCAGAAGATCCTAAACCGTAAGACAAAGCAATTAATTTCATCAATGTTTTGGAGAATATTTTAAATCCATGCAAGGTATAAAATATTACCAAAGGACAGCAGAAATAGGTTATATTATTAAGTTAAATATACATGTAATGACGGCCCCGAAAATACCTCCCGTATAGTTCAAATATCTGGATTTGTCACGCTTAGTGTATACATGAGAAACGCTGATCGTGGAAATCGTAGGAAAACGAAGGTACCTAATTAGACAAAGGTTTCTAAACAATTAACGAGGATTAGGCAAAGTTTTCGGTGTTGTCACGAGTTTTTTCTGTATGATATGATGCATAACTATATTCCCTGACAATGTTTCTAAATTGCCTCAAATGACTAAACGGTGATTTCTTGTAAGTTAAAATCGTAGAGAAATAAACAATTCCCCTTTTTAGTAAGAATCTTGATTACAGCTGGAACATTCGCTTCAAAAATTAGCAAGATTGGAAAGTTTGGTTGCAAATTATAGTTCTGCAAAGTTGGCAAATTTTGTATAAATTAGGGAATGGTTCATTGGTACCGCAACCCGGGTTGTAGCTACTACTAGCTCTTTAACAGGGGGGTGCACATCCAGATAATATTCATGTTTACAAACTATAAGAACAATAGTTTTCATATCAGTCTGCAACTACACGACCCCCCCTCTAATTAAGCTTAAACTTAAGAACTGAACGCTATAAAAGCTAACGAAATCAATGTTTTACTATCAAGAAAAATTATCAGCTCTATCGTCACACAGGAAATGTTAATAACAACATTCCTGTAAAAAAAAGAAAAGAAGAAGCGCATATAAACTTGCAAGAACATTAGTCTCAGTTCACATCCAAACTGAAAGAAACAATTCTTCATCTAAGGAGGGCCGCATATTATACATGCAGTAAAAGTTAAAAATAATCACCTTGGCCGTTTACGCTACTATCAATCTCAACATCACATTTCGCTCTCTTAACTACAAAGAGAAAGAAATCGTGGTTAAAAAATATGACATTGTATGACATTGTATATATATATGATGCGATATATTCAGTCTCAGTTCCCTATACTACACATACGAGTTCTTCGGTTTGGGGGTAGGGGTTGTACGAAAGTTGAAAAGCGTGGGAAATCTTAAATCACGGAATCTCTTTGAAAACCCCAAATTTTTTATTTTGTTGCTTTTTCAGTCTTTTCACAACGGTTTAGAAAATCATTATATCTGGTGGATAACGCTAGTATCGAGCCATCGTACAACCGACCGCAGAAGTGTCGTAGTGCTAATGTTTAAATAAACTACACCATAGTACTGGACCTTGTACTGGACCTTGCGGCGTTTGGATATCGATTTGGCTTGTTTCTGTCGCCGTCAAAATTCGCAAGTTAAATTTCGGGCTGGTAAATTTTTGGCTTCTTGACCCATCAATGAATTCGAGTTGTACAACTAACTGGAATACGTTCAGATTTCGTTGTTGGTCAGACCTAGACAATTTGAAGACCGGTGGACTATCAGGACATCTTCCTTCGTAAATTTCATGAAGATCAACTGAAAACGGTTGCTAAATTAAAAGATAGACGTTTGTCAGGATAATGCATGGAACGGAGAAATTATTGTTGCAATATGAATTTATAGCTGTTTTATATAACTGCAATAAGGCTACTGGAACAGAACAAGCTGGATGAATGACGGGCAGCTGGTGGTAAAAGAAATGTTTTAAGAGAGGAGGGTGTGTTATATGTACTTATTCGAACTTTAATCCGAACTTTAAATACTTCCAAAGTGAAAGCCTTCTATTTTTTTAATTCCTGTTTTATTTAAGGGTGGGGGGGGGCAGATCATATTATAAGTAAAGCGAACATCGCATAAGACTATAAACTACTTACGTGACATGAAAAGAAAGGATCTGTAGGGGGGGGGAGACTGGGCAGTCTTGAAAACAAAAATTAGGGAGCAAATTCCCTCCCTGCGAGCTATGTGTAACACAAAATTCTTTCCTTGTTGTCTGCTGCGCAAAAATCAATTTAATATACGACAAGTAACAACAACCTATGATTATTATTTGGCTATTACTTGGCATTCATATCGAAAGTTAACTAGTTAAGGGGTAATTCAAGTCGCATGGCCGGCAATTCATAACAATTTAGTAAGTGTATGTAACAAGATTTATTGATCCATAATTTTAAACAACCTTTCGAATCAGGCAATAGAATTTTCTCTTTCCATATCCTTCATCTTATTAACATCTGATTTCCATGCGAAGACTTTACTCCTAATTATTTCGCCGTGAGCGACGGTGTTGAAAATTCGCCTAGGTTTTTTTTGTTTTAATTTTTGTTTTTGTTTTTCTTTTGTTACTTTTCGTCGTCGCAAGTTTGTTTTGGCGCGAAATATACTTGTATTTGAAATGTGTATGTGACCGTATTTATCTACGTCACAGTTTTGTCTCCCAATGGTAGTGGTGCACAGCTCGAAATCTCGGACTAATTTTCCGATGCGCGAAATCATCGGAACAAATGAGCCGTTCTTTTGATGCTTAAGTTTAGATTTAATTGGGGTAAAAATATATTTAATACATGTAGATTCTGGTCCTTTTTAAAGTACGATGTGCTTCTGAATGTTGCGATCGAACAACATTTAGGTTCGCAAGGCATCTAAATGAGTATGAACTGTAGTTAACGCAAGAACAGATGTCAGGTTTAATTTAGATGCCTTGCGAACCTAAATGTTGTTCGATCGCGACATTCAGAAGCACATCGTACTTTAAAAAGTGTAGAAGTCTTACACTTTGGAATTCGCGCTTATATCAAATCTTGTGCAAACTGCGACGTGTCAACGGGCCCATACACGATCACATCTTGTTAAACTGACATCAAAATAGCCAGTGTTGCCAAGTTCGGGATTTTATCCCGAGATCTCGGGATTTTTTGAAACAGTTGGCATTTCTTTTGGATTTATTTCTCAAATAATAATCTCGGAAATTTTTTAGAGATTTTTGGGAAAGGGAAGTTTGGAATTTGGGAAAAGATGTTTTCGTTAAATTGACAAATAAAAATATTAACCAGAGAGGTGCTGAAATCACCTTACGCTCGCCTGCACTGTTTGTCTAGAATAAGGCTAAACTCTGTATGAAAGGTATCTGTATGAAGCACAAATTACCGATCTTTTTATTACAAATTACAAGGCTAAAATCCGCGTTGGAAGGTAATATTAAGCACAAACTTCAGATATTAGTTGTGACCTCAGAATTACTGGCCAAAACTGGCCTCGGAATTACATTAGTTTTATTTGTGACCAATATTTCTTCCGTTTCTCGCAATCCACGCACGTGATATCAACAGGTAAGTTAACGGACCAGGCAAAAGTCCCTGCTTTAAGCCGGGCGCACACACAACGATTTTACGGTAGTTGGTCCATTCTGGTTTAGACATATAGGCAGCCCTTGCCCAGACATGTTTTCCTTCTCGCGGCGCTCGCGCCTCGCGCGTGTACACGAGTCTACTTGGTCAAGTTGGTCTAATCATATGGTCTAATATTATGACCAAGTATGGATCGCCAGTCGCCACATTTTGATGAAAACATCCATCTAGACAATCTAGACAGGAATCGGCCGACTAAAATCGTCGTGTGTGCGCCTAGCTTTATGAAATAAACAAGATTGGATTTTTATATCTACACAAAAAAGGATTATGCATCAAACAACGAAAAGGTATGTACATAAATCTTATAGGTGCTTTAATAATATATTTGCATGTGTATCTACATAAATAATATGCAAATATATGTCACATGCGTTGCCATTTGCCTTTGCATTCCGAGCCTATCGGCTTTCTACTTATAAATACTTATGTGCTAAAGCTTGTAATTGCGAATTATCTGACAATATTTTTTAAACTTTAACGTTGGACTATGTTTTATATATTTTCACTCCCTGAATGATTTCTATATTAAGCGATTGAATTTTGATACGGCATGTCACAACACAATCTCATAATTTATAATTGTACATGTACAATACAAACAAATGGTAGCATACGGGTGAAAATATTTGAAAGTTTCTCATTTGGCTTAGGGTTGTACAAATAGTTTCGTTAAATATGATTCAGCTACAACTTTGAACTAAAAAAAACAGGGCTACACAATAGCCATGAAAATCGTAATGAGCGTGATAACTCTGGATAACTCTAACATTGACCTTATGATGCTAATAAGCTTAACATTTGCCTTATCGTTTGATAATTTTGAGCAAAGCTCTCTTTTTTGTATAATGTGTACCAAATGGCACTGAATAGTCACAATGCATATCGATGACTTATATTTATGATGATTTCTCTGATGTAAAGCCATAATATTTAAAAAATATAGCATCTTAACATTGACCTTATCATTATGCTAATTAGCTTAACATTCACCTTATCATTTGATAATTTTGAACAAAATTCCCATTTTTTGTGTAAATGTGTACTAAATGTCACCATATAGTCACAAGACATATCGATGAGCTATATTTATGATGAATCTTCTGATACAAAGCCATAATATTTAAAAAATATAACATCTTAACATTGACCTTATCATTATGCTAATTAGCTTAACATTCACCTTATCATTTGATAATTTTGAGCAAAACTCTCTTTATTATTGTATAAATGTGTACCAAATGGCAATAAATAGTCACAATGCATATTGATGACTTATATTGATAATGATTCCTCTGATGTAAAGCCAAAGTATAGAAAAAATATAGCATTTTAACATTGACCTTATCATTATATTTTGTTGTATAATGTTCACTCCCCCCTGGTAAATGGTTCCTTTGCAACAAATAGACTCCTTAAGTAGATAAGTTGAAAATAATGGGAAAATAAAAGTGGCATCTTAACATTCTACTTATCATGTAGTGTGGCCGCGGACGGGGACGGGGACAGGGACGGGGACGCGGACGGGGACGCCAAGACTATAGCAATAGCTCTCTTGCACTAAAGTGCAGGCGAGCTAAAAATCCAAGGTATTGAAATAATATATAGTGTAAATTAATACTTGCGGCAAAAACGTTACTCAAAGTCAAGAATTGGAGTCTCGGGATTTTAGGGGAATCTCGGGATATTTCAGGCGCTTACTTGGGATTTTTAAAAAATTACAGTTGGCAACACTGAAAATAGCAGCGATATTATTAAAATAGTATAGAAGTTCAATTGTTCAAAAATGTAAATAAACCGCATGTAATGTTCACTTGGTCCTACACTTTGGAATTCGCGCTTATATTAAATCTTCAATCCTGTGCAAACTGTGACGTGTCAAGGCGCCCATACACGACCACATCATCTTGTTAAACGGCGAAACAGCAGCGATATTATTAAAATAGGACCAGAATCCGTATCATGCAAGCGAAATCAAATCACGCATCGGAAAATTAGATTTCGAGTTGTGCACCACAACTCTTGGGAAACAAAACTGTGACGTAGATAAATACGGTCACATACACTTTTCAAATACTAGTATATTTCGCGCTAAAACACACTTGCGACGACGAAAATTAATAAAAAAAATTAAAAAAAAAGACCGAGGTGAATTTTCAACTCCGTCGCTGACGCCGAAGTAATGAGTATGAACTGTATTGTTTATGTTCAGAAACTTTATATTGAAGACTGGCACGTGTGCGGCACGCCGGAGTTAACGCAAAAACGGGCGTCTTGTTTGGCAGTAAATTTTCTAACTTAAAGCAATTTAACCCCCTTGCACTTGGCGCCAGGGTTATTTCACCGCCTTTGCTCCCTCGCCTCTCGTTGGCCTTGATAATACCACAGAATACCTATCAGAAGGACAATTCCATTGTTTTTTGCGTAAGTGTGAGTCGTCAGATTCGTCATTCAGCAAGTACCGTAAATAGAGCAACCCCCTGCCAATGTTTAAAATGGCGCACTAATTATATATTGGTTGGGGGGGGGGGTGATTGCCTCCATTTAGGATGCTTGCAGAGTGGCGAATCACACTTAGGCAAAAACAATGGAGTTGTCCTTCTGATAGGTATTCTGTGATAATACTGAACACAGGTGCATGTACACTCACCACGAAGCCATTTTTAATTGGAGTTGGGGTGTCTGTATCTTTTATAAGATTTAAAATTTCTCCAGTGTATTCATTTCTCAAAGGAACCTCGCCATTATCATCCCTCAATTTTACTGCGGCTAAACCTTCACGTTTAACCCATCCATAAATCTTGTACAATTGACAATTAATTGTTATCGCTTGCATTTTGATCCACCTCGCTTCGTCTTTTACAACCAATCGCCGAACCCTCTTTCCAATTCGATACCCTTTTGTGTAAAATACTTTGCCATCATAAAGATCAAGAAACTTTACTTCTGCAGAAACTAAAACGAAAAAAAGTCACTCGGAGTTGTTGTCTCAAATGTATCGCTGGATAGAAGTGCGAAACATAAAAATGACTTGGAGGTAGTAAAATACGTAAGCATTTGTGAAACCAGACAAGTATATGCTGTTATCAGAAGGACTATCGGACTAACTCTCAACTGTAGGTTAATAATTGGCCAATCAGAGTCGTGTATTTCGTAGATTTATTTATTTGTCACGCAGAGCGATCGAACCATGAAAATGATTTAACAGGGTTTAAATTTGTTTCGCTACTGTACTTCGAAACAACTTCTAGCTACTTAACTTCTTTTTATTTCGAAAGAAACGGACCTTAATTTCCCAGGCAAGGGTAAGGCAAGGACTTTTTTAAGCCTATCATTTTATCAGAAAATTTTACTTTAAATTGAACATATCTCACGAAATTTTATCGTTCCTATTTTACGTATATGCATGCAGTGCATGTTTTCACGGTTTTTGTTTTAAAAACCGTTCTCAAATATTCTTGATATTTCACTGACGATTTTCCGGTCGCTATGTTTAGAGTCGACCAAAACACAATCAAGGCAAATGCACGCATTCGCTATCAGATTGCATAGACTTAAAGCCTGTTTACATTGTTTGTAAATTCCAAAGCGTCAATTATGTTGACCTGATCATGTTATACAGTATACTCATTTCAATACCTCAAAACTTAAGCTAATCTCAGCTGTAAGCAGTATCGTGTAAATAGCTATTCTGACAGAACCTGAATGATCAAGGCGGGCGTACTGGCATTCGTTGGCATTCGTGAAATTGAAATTGATATCTCACTGGCCCCGTGACTGAGGCTTTGTCTTGTCGTGTGACAGTCAGCACTCAGCAGTACTCTCGTTTGGTAAAGATTTCACGGGCATGTCATTTGTAAGCCGATATGTTAACATTATAACTTCCGTCATGGCGCGCCAACTTAGCGAACAAACAGTTAATGAAGAGAGCAAGACACAATTTGCGTAGGCTAGTTTAATATTTCGACTACAATTAGGGTTGGAGATCGTAAATACAGCAAAAATGGTTGGGTCCACAAAAGTTTATCTCAGGGCAAGGAAATATAGGTTCAAAATAGTGTAGCTACCAGTTTGCAAATCCTTTAACGTAGCAACATTTTCCTAAGACGAGAGTTCATATGCGACACTATAGTGGAGCAACTTCGAACACCCGACGCAGGACTTGCAATAATAATATCCTGCTTGGATTCCATTTCTCTCTAGCAACATGATCATGAAAACCCACAAATTAGTTCGAGTAACGTAATCTCGGTCGAGTACAACCGTAAACGGTAAATCAGTAAATCAAAACAAACCTGTGTCTGTGGGGTTATCAACTGGTAGAAAGAATGTGTCTTCGTTTGGATCCATATTTACATCAGAAACGTGTCACTAGTTCTTCCTACATAAAACTGGCAAACGGCATTAGTGCTGAACGTTGGACGCTACAACATTACATCAATATAAATTATGACTTATGTTTCTATTTCCGCATACCTCTGTGAACATGTACAGGGTGAGTCAAAAAAAAGTCCCCCCTATTGAAATGAAGCCTTTGTTGATTTGAATGCATGATCAACGCAGTAGTGTGTAAATAGCATAGTTATTAGGTTGAGGCATTCAAATAAAGCGTCTTGCTTTCAATTGGGTTTATCATAATATTAAGGCAATCAGATTCTAACAAAGGCTTGATTTCAATAGAGGGGACTTTTTTCTGACTCACCCTGTAGAGTAAATTACAATAAATTAATTGCTTTCCGTGATTTGTAAACATGACAGGGAAAACCCCTGATGATATACAATTTTTAAACTTACGTCATGTTTCTAAAATAATCAAAAAAATAATGCAATGACAAATGTAATCACTTTTCTTTTAAAACAGAAAAACACACTTTACTTATCGGCGTTATCTTTTATAAATTTTAAACTTGAATTCTGAAATTGTGGCGATAAAAACTCTGAGCTTGCGGTTTAACAGCATGGAATATATAGACAGGTTAGCCTGGAATACTCGCAAATCGTTTATAAAATGATGGTATATCATTGGATCTAAAAGTTAATAAATTTACAATATAATTGTACGTTTTAAAGCAATAAATTGGAGTATGTTGTCTTACTTTGTGGCGAGTTTTCTTGTTCAGCATGCATCTTTTATAAGTTCGCATGTTTATTGTCACATGACTGTTTATAATGTAAATACACATCCCTCAAAATGAGCTGTACATGGAGCAATATTGTGCTGCTCATATTGTTCACAGTTGTCAATAACATCAAACACTATTGTTGTAAATAAACCAGGTGTAGTAATATATTTAATTATAATAACTTGTAGGTACACCACGTAAGTATTAAATACTGCAAAGCTTTCGGTCCGTTAACCCGGACCTTCATCAGTGCAATTACTTGAATACACGTTTGCGCGTCACTTAAATATCATGTTAGTCGTGATTAGTTTGCTCGCGCTATTAATTAAACGGTTTCATTTAATTAAGTTCTAACTAATGCGCGCGCCCTAGACAAGTATTTGACTAAGAGACACCGAAAAGAGCACGCCACGTACTATTAAGTGGCTTTCCCTCTTGGACGATAGTTTGATGTTTATAAATTTCAATAGATTCTCTCATTTTACGAGAGACAGCAAACTTATCGTTTGCTAAAATGGTAGCATCGTTCCATTTAATGCGATGATCATAAGTCCATGCATGGTGAGCTACTGCAGACTTATCCAGTTTACCTTTCTCGCAGTTCGTCTTATGTTCTTTAAGACGTATTGAGAGATTTCTACCGGTCTCTCCAATGTAAACCAAACCACATTCACATGGAATGCGGTACACACCAGGTTTCTGTTGTTCATCGACGCCATCCTTGTGTGTGTAAAGACGATAAGTTTGCTGTCTCTCGTAAAATGAGAGAATCTATTGAAATTTATAAACATCAAACTATCGTCCAAGAGGGAAAGCCACTTAATAGTACGTGGCGTGCTCTTTTCGGTGTCTCTTAGTCAAATACTTGTCTAGGGCGCGCGCATTAGTTAGAACTTAATTAAATGAAACCGTTTAATTAATAGCGCGAGCAAACTAATCACGACTAACATGATATTTAAGTGACGCGCAAACGTGTATTCAAGTAATTGCACTGATGAAGGTCCGGGTTAACGGACCGAAAGCTTTGCAGTATTTAATACTTACGTGGTGTACCTACAAGTTATTATAATTACTAAAGTCGCCATGCAATCATACAAGAAAATTAGTAATATATTGTTGAATGTTGATAACAGCTCCGAACAGTGTAAGCAGCATTGCTTCAACCTGACCGTTCTTAGGCGTGTAGGTATGGTTATCCTAACGTGTACACGCAACAAAATAAGTAAAAAGTGCATTTAGACATGAAAATACATGAATTATTTCACTGTGTGTTATGCGAATAATTATAAAATGCATCGTTGAAGGCATGGATAATAGACTGAAACTGTTTCAGAACAATATTTGCATTCCGTTACACACACTTCTCGCACAGTGTTCTAAATTATCCAGGACAGCAAATGGAGCAGCCCTCCAGCTTTTGACGTTTGATATTCGCGACGACAGTCTTCAGCAACAAGTCACGAGAAAGTGATAATCCTTCTAAAACACCAACCTTGACATGCATTTTACTTCGATGTATGTATTGCAATATAATCAATAGTCTTCTGCTTTTTTCCTTCTTCTCTTGAGCAGTGTTTACACTAGAGACCTATAGCTGACCTAAGACCTAACTTAAGCAGTTAGTCCTGTAGTGTAAACGCACTAGGACTGACCTAAGACCAACCTAGGACCGACCTAAGACCATGATTTCAGGCCAAGCATTAGAGGTGGCCTGAAAACATGGTATTAGGTAAGTCCTAGGTAAGTCTCAGGTCAGTCTGGCGGTGTAAACACATTTTCATTGACCCAAGTGTGATCGAAGCTAATTTTCTTGATAACAAACGTAAATTCGAGTCTTTGATGTCAGCATTTAGCGGGCTTGGAATTTTAGCGCGATTTTACAAAAATTAGGGGGAAATTCAGACTTGATAATTAGCCACATGGCGAATTTCGGAACTTGCCAATAAGTTATCATATATTTTTTAATTTTGCATGAAATCGTTGTTTGCCAGTAATCCCAGTAATACGTCGTATTCTTTTACGAGGCTTTGCAGTTTGTACGAAATAAACAAACAAAGAACTGCAAGCTTATATTTTAATACTCTTCTCACAGTACTTTATGTTGCGTGTATGTATATATAAGTCCCGTTAGGTAACTGGTGTAAACACACCCTGTAAAACTTGGTTAGGTACTTCTCAGGTACGGGCAAATGTCAGGTAAATGTCAGCCCCTTCGTGTAAACACGGCTTTGGACATGTTCAAAGTTGTACTATTGTAGTGTACAAATGTTAAATTTCAGGTTGAATTACAACAAAAAGAGATAGTGAGGCCGACAGCGCATTAAAGGACTGCTTTTGCGACGTAAACAAAAGGTTCGTCCCAAAAACAGCCCCATGATGCGTTGTAAATATCACTATTACCAGTCCTTTAAAATATAAGATAAAATATAACCAAAGGACAGTAGAAATGGGTTATACTTTTAAGTTAAATATATATGTGACGGGCCTAAAAATACGTCTTATATAGTTCAAATATCTGGATTTGTTACGCTTAGTGTAATGCAAAAAGATGAATAAAAATCGTATACTTGAGAAATACAGATCGTGCAAATGAGCAAATCGTAAGAAAACGAAGGTACCTGATTAGACAAAAGTTTCTAAACAATTAACGAGAATTAAGCAAAGTTTCCGGTGCTGTCACAAATTTTTTCTGTATGATATGATGCATAGCTATTCCCTGACAATGTTTCTAAATTGCCTCAAATGATGAAACGGCGATTTCTTGTAAGTTAAAATCGTAGAGAAATAAGCCATTCCCCTTTTTAGAAAGAATCTTGATTACAGCTGGAACATTCGTTTCAAAAATTAGCAAGATTGGAAAGTTTGGTTGCAAAATATAATTCTGCAAAGTTGGTGATTCTGCATGGTCCATTAGGACCGCAACCAGGGCTACAGCCAGTACTAGCCAGTGAACTCTAATAAGACTGGAACGATAACTCAACAATAAAGACTAGTCATTGGATGAAGCCGATTTGAATATAATTTGCTGATTAAGGCGGCAGCCGCGCGAGCAAATCAAGCCTTCAAAAGAACTGGGGAGAGTGAGAATTCCGTAAAAATCGTATTTTTTGACAAAAAATTGCCAGAAAAGTGCAATTTTTATTTGACCACTTCAACTTTAAACAACGAATTTACCCTTTTTGGATAGACCTAAGTAATCCGCATCATCTTACTGTAAAAACTGGCGAGGTACCAGCTTTGTACTTAAAATATTTAAAGAATTTGAACGGGCCGAAAAAAAACTTCGCCTTCAACTCGCAAAAAAACATAGGTTTGCACCTTTTCACGTTCATAAAACTTGTTTTTTAGTAAAATCTAAGTGTCAATGCTTGTTTTAAACTTTTATTCATGATCAGATGAAATGGATTTGTGTATAAAAACCGGCGTTGTTTTGGTGGTGTAATTTCAACTCTTGGCCTTCATGGCGGCCATCAGTGCTGGCTTCAAAGATGGCGGCCAAGTTATCGTTCCAGTCTTTTTAGAGTTCACTGGTACTAGCTCTCAAACAGGGGGGGGGGTGTATAATCAGATATTCATGTTTACAAACTATAAGAACAATAGCTTTATATCAGTCGAGCATAACACGATCCCCTTCTACTAATTAAGCTTCTATCCACAGCACTGAACGCAATAAAAGCTAACGAAATCAATGTTTTACCATCAAGAAAAATGATGCAATAAAATGATCAGGTAGTGAGCATCTCCTATCGTCATACAGAATAATTATGTTCATAACAACATTCGTGTATTCAAAACATGAAAGAAGAAGCACATTCAAACCTTGAAGAAATATAAACTCAGTTCCCTCTCATATTACACATACGAGTTCTGGGGCGGGTTGTACGGAAGTTGAATAACGTGGTTAATCGTAAATCACGGAATTTCTTTGAAAACCCGAAATTTGCTGTTTTGTTGCTTTTTCAGCCTTTTCACAATGGTTTAGAAAATCATTATCCGGTGGATAACGCTAATATATCAAGTGCATGCTAATGTTTAAATAAACTGAACCATAGTACTGGACCTGATAGTGGTACTATAGATTTTGCGGCATTTGGCTTGTTTCTCTCTCCGTCAACATTTGCAAGTTAAATTTCGGGCTGGTAAACTTTTGGCTTCTTGATCCATCAATGAATTCGAGTTGTACAACTAACTGGAATACGTTCAGATTTCGTCGTTGGTCAGACCTAGACAATTTGAAGACCGGTGGACTATCAGGACATTTTCCTTCGTAAATTTGATGAAGATCAACTGAAAACGGTTGCTAAATTAAA